TATGGTTTTAATATATGTGAAAAGTCAATATGATATTAGTATTTTCGTTAATAGATCATTACAATTATATTAAATATTAATTTTTTTCCATACATACATGTTTCATCTTTTTTACATCTTTGATCAGATACGTTATAACTATATATCTATTAGCATTATAGGATGTTCGTAGATCATCGAATGAGCAGTTTCCATACGATCGCAGAGATCAAGCTATGTTGGGATACAACTTAGGATAAATGACCGCTTGGATAAGTGACCGTTTGGGAATATTATGAAATTAATTATCGAATTCAGAGAGAATGTTTTTTAATCTTAATTTTATCGTGTGGAATATGATACTAATCAATAATATTTATTTTAACAATAAAACTAAATTAATTAATTTTATTTTTTTGAAATTTCAGCGAAAAATTCGCAGTAGTGATACATGATACTATTCACTACTATACTATAATATAGTAGTATAGCAATGCAGTGGTTGAATATTGTATTTTCTACTACACTACTACTGCAGTACTGCAGTAATCAGTAGTTTCTTTTCATAAGAGTATCCGATACAAATTTTCTAAAGTGCCAAAAAAAAGGAAAGCAAGTAAAAAATAACATAATAATTTTCTTTATCTTTTCAATGAAAAAAAGAAGAGGAAAGATGAATCTTGCAAAAAATTCAGCTGAAAAAAATAGAATTTTTATCAATGATACAAATTTTAAATAAAACTTCAGTAGTATATACATATTGCTGGATACTAATGATATTCGGCTATCCAATCGGATAGTAAAAAAGTATCGGATAATACTGGATACCGGATCTGGATTTTCTAGATATCCGATGCATCCTTAAAATTTCCTATAAAATTTTTAACATTCCGACACATATCCAAATTCGTATATATTGGGTTTTAGTGATTCTGGCAATGAGCGGATATTAAATATTATTCGCTGGGTTTTGTTCCCAGGTACAGGATATCATGAACTATATAATGGTGTCGTCTGCAATGATACGATCCTTGCAACAGGTGTCTTCAGCTCCAAGGAGCTCTGGATGCTTTCAAAAGGTACGACGCTATATATTTCTCATAAATTCGAATTTGAGTCAACTTTGTACGTTAATCGACTTGAGACGTACTTTGTATGTCAATTGCACGTAATATAAATTTTGCTGTCTTATACGCGTTTTTACATTCAATAAATTTTGGATTGATTTTGTATTATTGGGTTAACTCTTTTTCCAGATATTTTATACACATAGTTTCTCTGTGGATGCTTTCGAAAGGTGACAAATAGCTCAATACGAAAGACCTTTTGAAAGCATCCTGATTGTTGATATTTTGTATCATATTATCATATTTTTTAAATATTTATTACATCTTTTTAATAAGAAAGATATGATGTCTCGAAGTAAATAAAAATAATAAAAAACGCGCACACGCACACACACACACGCACCATTTATATTCATTGCACGGTTTAATAAAAAATTTTTTTCGAAGTACTATAGAGGAAAAAAGTGCCACATATTTGGAAGACTTTCTCGTATTGAATATGATGTCATCGTCGAAAACTTCGTAGTATGTAGTGATTTTTATACTACGTATATAATACAGATGTAATAGAGTGACCATATCAAGCTTATCCTTAAAAAAAATATATATTTTCTTGAAAAATATTTCAGATAAGAATTATAGGATTTTTATTGGCGTTAGATAGCAATGTTAATGTAATAAAATTGCCAAGATAATATAAAAATCGCTTCGAAACTTTTTAATAAAAATCTCTATTTTGTACATATTTTTTTTTACATTTTTTTTTTACATTTTTTCTGTAGCTGACCTTGAGAGCTTTTCAAAGCACTATAATAAATAAGATTATAATGAAAGTAGTCAAAACAAAAACAAATGCGAAAGCGAAAGAAAAAGATTTTTTTTGCAAAAGTGAATGTGACATTATAATATGAAAATATATGCAAAAATAAAAGATCTTGTTTCTTTTTGCTGAATGATGAAATTGACAGTTAGGAAAAATAATTCTTTCTGCCTTCGATAATGTGCCATCAATGAAGTTATGAATCCTACGAATCGGACAAAATCTTTCGCTAAAACTTTCACATAATTGTGCGATAACGAAAGCAAAAACGAAAGTTTAATGCGAAAGCTTTCGCATATATGAAAGTGAATATTCGGTACAACCATTGACAATAGCATTATCCAAGGTGTCCGACTGCCTAAAATCTTTTAAATGTTGTTCAAGATTATAACCTTTTGACGTTATATACGAGACCATCATAGGTTATTCTAATTATTTTAATTTTTAACTTTAAAATATAGTGAAAAATTTTTATAATCCTTTTTTATAATGTTTTGAAAAGTTTTCGAGGTAACGTAATAAGAATATGCAATAAAAAAGGGGTCTTTATTAAAAATTTTTGAAGTGATTTTTATGTTATCTTAACAATTCTATCCAAAGTCATATTAACATTGTTATCTAGCAGAGTTGGCAACATTATCTTACAAAAGTAACTCGGTACCTTTATCGTTCTTTTTTTTTGAAAAGTAATTTGTTATTCTTACTCGTTACTTGTTTAAAAAAGTCATGCGACACAATTGTATGGTCATTTTGAACATGAAGAAAGGACGCAACATTATGGGAATTGAATTTTGATCGAATTGGCTGAAAATTTGATGTAAATCTTGTCGTCTGGATAAAAAGTCTTCCTTATAATGAACCATTTCATCTCTAAGAGGCATCATTTTTCAAAACGGCTAATATGACAACACTTTATTTTTAACGAATACGGTGCATTCTTACATCTTTATTTGCAATTTCTGTGTATATTTTTAAGTTTAAAAAAGTTAAAAAAAGTTATAAGGATAATATTGACTCAATTGCTTCTTACAAAAAAGTTATAAAGATATTGAGATCGGTAACTTAATTTTAAAGATTTAAGCATCTACCGATTTATGAGAAGCAAAGAGACTTACAATAACCAAGCACCCTAATTTGTGAAAGGCGAGGAGACTTAAAATAAACAAGCATCTTGACTTGTGAGAAACAAGGAGGTATAATAATCAAGCACTCCCATTTGTAAGAAGCAAGTCAATATTAAATAATTGCCTTATGAATTTTTTTAACTTATAAATAATTAAATATAGAAATTGCAAATAAAGACATAGGAATGCACCGTAGTTTAAAATAAGATTATAGTATTAGCCCATTTTGAAAAATGACACTTTGTAGAGGTGAAAAAGTTCATTATCATCGTGTCTGAAGAGACTTTTTATCAAGACGATAAGCTCTACATAATATAAGCTCTATATAAAATTTTGAACCAATTCGACCAACATTCAATTTCCATAAGATTTGTCCGGAGTTTTTTCCAACGTTTTTGAGCAATTTCTGTTTCTCTCTTCTATATAATTCATCGGGCCTCTAATGCTTGTATATTATTATCCATCTCTGTTATTGCATTCATCATTTTAACAACTACTATTGATTAGAATATCTGAAGAGTGATTCAATCTAGAAGCCGAAACATATAATATTAAATTTTAATTTACAGAGTACAATATATTTTGTGTTTTGATTTTCATACGATTTGCGTTAATGACTCTTATATGCTCTTTCTAATATCTAATTACTTTTTCAAAAAAGTAACTCGTTCCCATTATCATTACTTGAAAACGAGTCATTATTATTTTTTGTTATTTTTTCTTGGAGCGCGATTCCGTAACTGTCTTTACACCCCTACCAACAGTTGTTGGTATCGTTGCGCAATTTTTTCACCATATAAAATATCTATGCAACGACACCGACAACTGTCGGTAGACATGTAAAATAGTTATGGAATCGCTCTTGGACATTCATAAAATATTATATAAATTTTTATAGTAAATACAGGGTGCGTCATCAAAATCCGGACAAATTTCAATTTAAATTTTCCGCTATATTATGCCTTCGTCAGAAGTTGTTGTTGACGTTCGAGAAAGTCTGATGCTTCTAATAAACAGTCATATTTTCAAAATGCCCGATGTTGAAACCAAGTGCGGAGTATAATCGAAGAGCCGCGATCATCGAAGGACTGGGTATTCAACGGAAATAATTCGGTTCTTTGGATACTCGAGATTAATCGTCCATGACGTTGGCAAAATAGACGATTTTAGAACAGTCTAACGAAGGTTCCAGTATGTCAACGAGGAAGAGTCACTTGAAAGATCGCACCGTAAGGATATTCCTGCAGTTGTTCAAAGAGCTCAAACACTGATTTCGGACAATCGTTACGAAAATTAGCATCAATTGTTGATGTAAGCGAGCCAACAATATGTCGAATTGTCGAGGAAGATCTTCGATACAAATCGTACACATCAAAGATACGACATGCTTTCTGAGGCTGCCAGGACAAGCCGAGTTGCTCCATTCTGGCTTATCAACAGCCCAGATTTAAATCCCTTGGACTGTTACGTAGTCCTGGAGCATAGTTAGGAATTACAAACAAGTCAATGTGACGTCATTAAGGATCGCTATTGAGGCATTCATCGGCATGATCAGCGCTACATTACAACGTGCGTGAACGCTTTAGACCGGAAATAGAAGCCATCATTCAAGCTAATAATGATATATCGAATAATTGTGTTCTATAGGGATCTCCCAAGTGCTATGTAAAAGGATTTTTTGTAATATTTATTAGGTGTACAACTTTGCTTCCGCCGTTTTCCTATAGATGGCTTTAGCGATAAGTGGTAGTCGAAATAAATAGATCATAGACGTCATACAATAAACTTGGGCATCTGTCAACATAACCCCATAGAAACATTAGTCGATTTGTGTCTGCATCATAAAATTATTCTCGATTGAAAATGTCAGTTTACGAGCCAAATTCTCGTTATTTGCGGGAGATTTTAATTTTTTGCTTCAATATGAAGAAATCTGCGGCTGAGGCTCATCGAATGCTCTCAAATACTTATGGTGAGGCCGCTATTAGTGAAAGAATGTGTCGTGAGTGGTTTCAACGCTTCAAGAACGGTGATTTTGATGTCGAAGACCGGCATAGGTGGAAGAGAGAAGGTTTTCGAAGATGCAGAATTGGAGGCATTACTTGAGCAAGACTCGTGTCAAAATCAAGAAGAATTGGCATGATCATTGGGAGTGACTCAACAAGCCATTTCAAAACGCCTCAAAGCCATGGGAATGATTCAGAAGCAAGGAAATTGGGTGCCGTACGAATTGAAGCCGAGAGATGTTGAACGGCGTTTGTTTGCTTGTGAACAGCTGCTT